AAATTTCTATCCATTCTCACCCCATCCAGAGCTCTGAGGACGTTTTCATGGAAAAGTGCTTGTCATTTTAATCCCTTAAAACACATTTTCAAGTAGAGGCTTCTTCAAAAAGAAATCCAGTTCTCCCATTATATGAGGTAGAAATTCTATGGCGACTCGCCTGACCCTATTCGCTCCTTCAGGGACCAGTTCAGACTGGACGTTGTCCCAGAATGTCCTCCCGGCCCACCAACCCCTTCTAACCTTTGCTCCTGTTCACAGTGAGTTAGGAGTCCATTTTAAAAAGGTGTGAAATGCCCTGATGGTTATGGTTAAAACTTTCCCCTTATCTTTTCGAGGCACACCTTGAAATACTCAGGGCCAGGGTGAGGGGGGGTGAGGTCCCGGGCTGTACAAATGGGTTAGACCAGGAGCCCCAACGCCCCCTAACACATCCCTCCAGAGCCCCGAGCGTCCGGTCTGTGAGCCCCGGGCCGCTTGCCGGTCATCCGCAGCACAGGAGGAGTCCCTAAGCGCCAGGCTCCCGCCTTCTGTGTCTACGGCCCCTTCCGCTCCTCAGGCCCTGGCACAGAGGCCGTGGGACGCGTTGGTAGAGTCAACGGCTGGTTTTGTCATGCCTGGTCGCCTGAGCCTATTTCCTGCAGTGGGCTTGCCCCGAGTGGGAGGCCGGGCCTACGTCGCCTGGCTTTTCATTAGAGAAGGCTGAACTGGGGTGGAGGCCACCCAGAGGAGCTCTCCGTCCAGACAGCTGGGTGGCAAGTCGGTGAGTTAGAAGGAATCGACTAAGCCAATTATACAAACTCGGGAGGAAGGAGAATGGCCATGTTTCTCCTTCAACGTGCTTATCTGACCCAGCTGTACATATGGTGTTCCTGACCGTCCAGCCGCAGCTGAATGGGAGGGACTGACGCCCCGGGAGCCCGGGGTGACCCTCACGTGCTTAGTTTCTCAGCCCCCACTATCCTGGGTGCGGGACACGCTGCTGTTGCTCCCGCTGCGGGCCGGGAACACGTCCTTTACTCAGGAGCCCTTTGCTGGTCTGGAAGAGATGGACCTGAGCAGCCCCACCCCTCCGCTTAGCGTCAGGGTGCGAACCATGGCTGTGAGCCCTCTCAGCCTCACTCGCGGGGGTGGCGGTGCTCTGCGGTGGCCCTCCGAAGCCCAGCCCTGGAAGGGCGCTGGCCGCAGGGAAAGCAGAGGGCAATCGGACGGAAAAGAACCTTCTGCACTGCATCTCCAGACTGCAGAGCGGAGCGGAGGGGCTGCGCGGAACAGGCCGCAGACGGGCTCACGCAGCACCTTCGTCACGGATTCCCGCCTGTTCGTCACACCAGCGTGCAGCTAGTTTACAGACTTGTTTTTTTTTTTTTTTTTTTTTTTTACAGGAAGTCCCTTAATTTGGCAAGTGACAATAGCTCAGATGCTACATGATCTTAAAAGATAAAAAAATCTGAAAGGAGAAATCAGGTCACACCCTTGCCCCGCCTAAGCCCCTGGTGACCCGTTGCTGTGCTGGGAAGAGGCAGGGCTCCCGCCGCAGACAGGGCTCGGCCTGCCCGGGGCAGCTCCGGTCTGTGCAGCCCCGCCCCACCCTGATCCGGCCCCACCCTGATCCGGCCCCGCCCGCCTCCGGGCTCCCGTGGGCCCTGCCTCTGCTTCCGAGCCCTGGCTCAGCCTCCCCTCCGCCTGTCTGAGACCTGTGACCCCGGGAGGCTCGCCGTCCCTCTCTCCCTCTCTCCCTTGTGGTCTTCGCCTAAGTGTCACCCCCACACAGAAGTCTTCCTTCCCCAGAACCCCAGTTCCGGCCGGACCCTCCAGCCGGTGCGCCTACCTCCTTCCATCCTCTCTGTTGGCTTCCTTCCCCGTGCTTACTGGTTTTCACTTATCTTTTTCTCCCTAGAGCGCAAATTCCATGAGGGCGAGAAACGGTCCGTCCCATTCCCGGCGGAAGCCTGGCCCTCCCCAGAGAGCCTCCTGAGGGGCAGGGGCCGGGTGCGCCCGGGGCGCAGCGGCACCCGGGGCGGATGGCCCTTTTCCTCCAGCCTCGCGTGAACAGAAGCCTTTTGGCCAAAAATAAAGGACGTGTGAGGGTAATTTCTGAATGTTAATACTGCTTTTCCCCCCACTCTAGGCAGTGATATTTACTATTATGCTAAATATTCTTTCCCAAAGTGTTCCGATGAATTTCACAACTTTCTCCCTCCCATAAATGTGAGTACCTAGCTCTCACCCCCTTGCGACCAAATGCTCCAAGAAGCTCAGGAAGGGATGGGCTCCACTGAGCATGAACTCCCACACGAATTCCCAGATACCGCCCTTGCCAAAGAGCGGTTTCCAAGGCGGGTCTCACTGCTAACTACCCACAGACATAAAACACACGCTCTCACAGACGCTGAGACGGGCGTGATTAATGATACAACCGGTGAGGAAACCCCCTCCGCCACGCTGGGAACGTGCACCGTAAGTTACGGCCCACATGTGCGAAAGACCTCCGCGCACGCCTGGTATTTTCAGGCCTGCGGGTCCAACTTGTCAGCGATGGCAGCTGGTTAAAATGTCCAGTGTTCAGTTCTGGAATGTCTTGATAAGGAATAAGCAAGGTATATTGGGACGGGCTTCCCCCTGTAAACCATCTGCCGTCCTTGGTTCTCTTTGAACCTGGGAGATTTTAGTTTTGGCAAAGCAGTCACCGGCTCATCTCTCTGTGAGTCACACTTGGGACGAACACTAAGATCCCATTTTTAACATTTGCCACTCGTGCCTGGACCAGCAGTGGGGGAGGTCACAAGGAAGCTGGTGTTCGGATGGCGGCCGCTCACACGGAACGCGTGGGCGCGTTGCCGAATGACCTTCCCGTGGCCTTCGAGTGCCCTCCAGAAGCTACGCGCCGGAGCTTGGAAAAAGGCCTTTCACTCATCAGTGGTCCCAATGTCCCTCTGAACTAAACAACAACCCCAATACCGCCATCTATTTGTGGAGTGATTTACAATTGACAGAGGCACATGGTCTCACGTAACCCACCCTCCTGCTCTCGGGGGGCCCTGCGAGGTGAGAGAACGGCCGCGCTGGGGTAGCCCCAGAGATGAAAAGCAGCCGGGGACGTCGACAGTGGGTGACGGACGACCGAGGGTCGCCGGGGCGGCGTGACCTCCCCGCACTCTGGGCCCCGGTGATTAATTCACCCACTTGCTTAGGAAGTTTCTTTCCATCTGAGAAAATTAAAAACACTACATTCTGGACAGGAATGCGGGATCATAAATGAGAACCAAATAGAAAAGATTTACACAAAGGCACAAGCTCAGCAAAAGAGGAAACGTAGAAATCGCTAATAAGGTATAAATCAAGAAAAGGCTATTAGCAAACCCCTGGTAAGGGCGGAAGAAGCCTTTCAAGTGACTTGCTGAGCTCTGAACAATAACGTTCTCCCTACGGCCGTGAGGCATCTCCGGGGGATTGGCTCCTGGCCACGGGCACCGGCGTGAAGACTCTTGGGTTTGAAGGGCTGGACACAACAGTACGGCTAGGACCAGAAAGAGCTCCTTCTATTTCTTGCGCCTCCAGAATCATACAACCCCTAGCGCTGTAGGGTTTTCTCCATCTGTGCATTCCCCGCCACAACAGGCACCGGGGTCAAAAATATTTGTGAGCACAGCGGCAAAACGAGGGGGGTTGGGTGGATGGCTAGATGGATGGATGGAGTAATGAATGGATGGACGGGTGGAGGGAGGGAGCGAAGGAAGGAAGGAAGGAAGGAAAGGCTGACCCATTTTACTGATAAGGAACTGAAGAGCCAGAGGGGCCACTAATTTGCCGGTATCACCAAAAACAGTTGGTGTCGGAACAGGGGCCACCAGGTCTCTTCAGTTCCAGTCTAGTATTTCCAGCCCAGATTTTCCTTTCTTCCGTTTGTCTCTTTAACTTGCTGGGATAAGACGCCTCGCCGCGGCTCACGTGAAGCGACGTGACCACTGCTGCCTCTTGTTTTAGGGTTGCAGCGAGGCCCGACGAGCCACTGGACAGAGAGCTTACAGGGCTATTGCTTGTAAAAGCCGGGCCACATTCCTTAACAATGCATCTCTCTCCTGGGACCTCAGAACCTCTTTCGCAGGTGTCCCCTCTTCGCATGACTGTCCCGTGCCAGCATGTCTCCATGGAGGCCAGTCTCTGGCCTGCCCACCCACAAAGCGAGCCCAGAGAGCAGCCTTGGCCTTGGGAAGGCCCCGAGGGGTAAAAAGCGAGTGGCGTGGAGGAAGTATGTGTTTCCCCTGCTAGTGAACATCTTCTCACAGGAGCACGACATTCTAGGCCCGTTGGGAAGGGCCCTTTGGGGCGCGGGAGACATCGGGCCCTGTAAGCACTCAGAGCTGATCTGTTTCCACCCCATCTGAACACCCCCGTTGTGAAACTCCCCACCTATTTTCCTGGGCAAACTGTCTAGGGTTCCAGAAAGGCATTAAACGAGGGGTAATGACATAATCTACTGAAACAGAAGTCACTGCATTGAACCCTCTAAGGTCTGATGCAGTGACGTGGTGTCAGAGGTGACAACACAAGTCCCCGAGCTACCAGCCCCTTCAATCCCCCTCAGGGCCAGCCCTGTGCGAGGAGGCCCCTCTTCCCCAGGGCCCGCTGAGGGACACTGACCGCCTGGCCCCGCCCACCTTGCCGCCGGGTTGACCGGGCCCTCTGGTGGCCGCAGCACGGGAACTGTGGTCTCAAATCGCACGTGTTCTGGGGCCGAAAGGCAATTTGTGATTTCTGGACAAGGACAGCAGCATGCATGCCACTGCTGCTCAGCAGGAGGTCAGTCCTTGCCACATGGCATTGCCACCCGGTCGCCTGTGACTCAGAGCAGCACAGTCTGCTCTTGTTACTCGGGAAGGAATATCTTTCCGGAAACTTCCATGGGTTCCCTGGCCAGAAGACCAGGGAGCCCCCCACCCCCAGGCCGTTCCCCAGCGCGCCCGACTCTGTAGGCGGCGCGCGCCGCTGGCACTTGCCCGGTGGAAGGGTTCATGATGCAGCCTCCTTTGTCGGCAGCCGTTCTGCAGCTACAGCCTCTCTCCGGCGTGTCGTGGTTCATCCCGAAGTTGTGGCCCAGCTCGTGCGCCAGGGTCACAGCCGCGCCAACGGGGCTGTCTGAGTGGTCCTCCAAGAAAACACAAGAGCACGGATGTAGAGCTCGCATGTGTCCTCGGCCCTGTTTCCCGGTCCCCCTCTACCCCGACATGTACTTTTCTTCGACATTTGACTGAATCCATCCCCCTAGAAGGAATCAGCATAGAGCCCCATTATTTACTTAAAACTGAAAGATTTGACATATCCAATTAAAGCAGCTTGGGGTCCCTCCTGCTGTGGGATGTACAGGTGGCGCATACATGTGGGACTCCTATGTCTTTACATGACACAATCAAGGTGACCTTCTGCATCCTGCGTCCTGCATTGTCCTGGGAAATAGGGGCAATGTCTACTGGCTGACACGAAAGGCTGTCCTATATCACAGGAAGCTCTCGGGCCTCCACAGGCGATACAAGCTCCCTCTTATCCACGACTGAGACACGGCTCACCTAAAGCTGGCGAGGGAAGCGCACCTTGTGATATCTTAAACAAGACCTGACCACTGTTGCTGAGCACGCCCCCTCCCGTCTGCTTGGGAGAAGGATGCCTGGAAAATTCACAGCAACTCAAAATAAACGCCAATCACATTGAGGAATCCGCCTGAAGGCTCATTGAGTTACGACTGTCAGCCAGCTGGGCCTCCCTGTGGCTGGCCCTTCGTTTCCCCACCTGGGCTTGGGGAGTGGATGGAGCAGGTGCCCTGACTCTCTCACTTTGGTTGCTGGGGCTCCCTCCACCTTCTGCTTGATTTCGGGAGGCTGTTTCTTCTATTCTGTAAGCACTGCACGGCCACCTTAACTCAGCGGGGTGCATGCGTGGCTTCGCTAACTAGGGATTTAAAATGAACTAAAAGCGTTGATATATTGTGGCTTAACTCTAACTGAAATTAGGCAGTGAATGAGATTTGCAGACATCATGCCCATGAATGGCGTTTCTGGGAAGGTCTGCATGCCACAGAGAGCTGAGGGCGCCCTCCTTGAAGCCCCGGCACGAGATAAGAGGTTTTTCCTAAGAGGCCTCCGGGAAACAGCGCTACTGGGTTTTCGAGAAAGCATTATCCTGAAAAAGAGAGTCTTCGTGGGGCCTCTCGAGAAAGGTGCATGCAGATGAGGCCCCCAGGTGTGTGAGTGGGTCCAGTTGCAACCATTTCATCGCCCGTCCTCGGTCTAAGAGGAGGACGGCACGTCAAGGGAGCGAGTGGTTCTTAGAGCAGATGAAATTCCTAATAAATGACTCTGTTTGGATTTTACAGTTTCCTGTTGTAGGAAGCTTCACAAATATGTTTCAGGAAATCAGTTCTCAAGAATAACACACATTGGCGAAGAGAACGTAGTCAAAGCGCAGAATGTGAAGGGCTCAATTTAGCATGCTTTGGCTCCAGATTCAAGGACTTCATCCTTAAAAAATTACTCTGCATCTGATTCTTTTGCATCACCGAATATCTTGGTTTTGCTTTTAATTGCCAAATTGTTTTTACATTCTTTCACGCATAGGTGATTATAAGCAGAAGGTCTCTTAAGAGACCCCGATAAACAGTTTACATTTGTAATAAGGAAAAAAAAAGCGACCTCTTTATTCATCACAATATCCCCAGACCAAGACTCTTTTAGTTCAGTGCGCCCCGAAAGTGTGGCTGCCAGTTACCAAAGTAAATGACTGCTCTACGCTGAGAAAGTAGAGACACGGTATCAGGATGCAGGTTCTCAGGTGGGTTAGCAGCCCTGCTCCCTTGCTCCTTGACTTCCGGCCCTGCACAGTTGTAAGTTTCTGAATGAGGCGTGGCCATGTGTGACACGTGGGAGTTTAAGTTCAGAGGCGCTAGGAGAAGGCCTCAGGGTTTTAGATCTGGTCAAGCCATGGATCTCGCTTATCTCGTGAGTGTTACAGAAGTTAAGGGAGTTGCATCCTCTTTCTCCCACTTGTCGCTTCTTTTATACGTGGAGCGAACGAGGAGCATGTCGGAGGCTGATCTCAGCTGCTGCCAAGTCGGCCAAACGTGTTTCCTGCTGATTGACTTTGGCCTTGAGTATTCTTCCTGCAGTCTACATTTGCTTACATTTCCCACATTCATTTTCATCCATTTTTTTAAAGCTGGGCATCCCTGTATGCTTTTAAAGAAGGAGTCTTGATAAAATGCTAGCATGGAGACAGAATAAGGGGTATGAGCTCCAGAAAGCCACTTAGTATCATGAGATTGGTTATAAAAACATTTAAGCGCCACGCAGTGGCAGAACCGTCCATGCTTAGGAGGAATTCCGTTTCAGCTCCAAAAAATGCTCACACCGATTTGAAGTGGCAAAGTCAGTTAGCAACCGACCGTGGAACCATGAAACAGAAAATTATTCCCTCTTAAAACTTTACAGGCTGCTCTGTAAAAATACGGTTGGGATCTGACTTGAAATTAACCTGGCACCAAGAAAAACCAAACTTTCCAGTGACTTCCACAGTGCAGAGCACATACAGGGCTTCCGGGTTCAGGAAAAACCAGAGCACAGCCCATTCAAGCCAGAGATCAATGAGCGGGCGCGACCCCTCCACGCAGCCTCCCCAGCCTCTCCGTGGGCTCAGGCTTCCATGAACCCCCGGCACTGTCCGGAGAGGGGAAGAGCTCCCTTGTGTGTCATAGAGAAGAGGGGGGCGGGCGGTGCGTGGAGAGAAAATAAGAGTCAGCAGAACATACCTCCTTCCTTCCGCCCTTTAACACAATGGAACACTCACAAATGTTCTGTCTGAAAAGTGCGGAGGAATTCACGGGTTCTTGGAAGGGCCAGGCTCTGCTTGTTTGAAGGAGGCGGTAGAACGGCCCCTGAGGACACTGCCTGACTGAGGGCGGGTGCAAAGGGGACACTCCACTCTTGGAGCAGGGGCGGCATTGGCCCGGGGTGAACTCTCTGTCAATTATGGGAGGGGCCCGAGCAGGAGTCCCCTGCTGGGCAGCCTATCAAAGCTGCCTCCCTCTTAAATCCGTCAGAAACAAGTCCCAAATATTCCTCCCATTTTTATTTCCTTTTACAAACATATAGAGCCCATATACGACAAAAGGATCTTTGTAAAGCAATAAAGCCGGGCCTCTGCCTTCCAAGAATAAGGTTTCATACAGACGACTTGGACACTGGCTGGGAGGTATGTCAAGCATTTGCGGTGGTAAATAGTTAAAAACCTCAGACGTTTGGCTGTAGGGGCTGGAGGCAGAAGCCTCAGAAAACCATTCTAACGGTTCTGTTTGGTGAGACCACAGGCCATCCCAGAAGCTGAGCAGTGAGGGCAACCCCGGGGCCCGGGCCCCTCCCAGCGCCAGGAGGGGATTCCTGGACTGGAATGCTCTGACCAAAATCCCAGCTGAAACCGCTCCATAAATGGGGAAGACGGGTTTGCACAGAGCTATTTTTGCACGCTCACCTTTCCTGTTCCGAGGTGCTTTCTAAGCAGCCCCTCCAATATGGTGCGTTATGCAAGATCATGCAGAGAGCAACAGGGAGGGTAGAGTGAAATCTAAAAGGCATTAAGGAAAAGAACCGGATTTCACAGAGTCTGGCGAGAGGAGGGGCCCCGTGGCAGCGCCAGGCACCCCCGCTTACCATGACGACGCCCCCAGACTGCTCCGCTGTGCACATGCTCATGATGGGCGCCATGCCGATGATGGTCCCTTGGAAGGAAACCCCGCTAGGACAGAAAAGGACTTTCTTACATGAACATAGAATGAAGACATTTTCTAATACATATTTTTTGGTGTTGAACCTTTCGTGAGAAAGAATACATCATGCTCAAGAACACTGTGAGTAGGGCGCGTAACTGGGTCAAGGGTTGGGGACACATGTGACAAAACTAACAAGCAGGACGCACATAAGCAGGGACACGAGCAGTCTTAGAACGACTGGCTTCCCTCAGGAGATGCGAAGCCTCGGCCAAGGTCAGAATCGCGGCGCGAGGACACGTGGATGGGTGATTTTTATCTTTAGGTCCTCGGCCATTTATTTTCCAGTTGCATCACGGTCCCACACCGCTTTCGGGCTTTTGTGTCCGAGAGCCAGACAACAACCAGTCGCAACTCTTGTCTGTGTGTGTCGTACTCTGCCTCGCTGCTAAGGGACGAGGGAGCCGCTCCTTTGGCACAGGGTCTGTGGGGGAAGGACGGGGAAGAGCCCCAGAGGACCGCCGTTAATTCAACGGAGCGCAGGGATGGCTGACTAGGTGTTCTGTTGTCGACGGGTCTTGCTCTCCTGTGTGACATGACATTTAGGTCAAAGGCCCAAGCCCTTCCAAGATGTCCTGCTGATGGAGCCTGTGAAACTGAAATGGGCAGAAAACCGACTGACCTTCTGGAGTCAGTGGAGAAGTGAGTGCCTGCAAAGCCTCAGCACCCTGGGCGGAAGCTTCTGGAACCTATAGGGCTTAGGTGCAGCTTCCCCTTGTATGGACTCTTGATCAACGAGTCTAGTGACATCAAGACCTGTTTAATGCAAGTGCTTTTTAATTCCAACCTCACGCATTAAAAATGAAACATTGTTTGTATTTGTTGAATCTCTTTTAAGGGAGATTTATCTTGGCCATGTACGTATACTAATTTTACATATATTATTTGAAAAGGTAGGCACTTCGGCAGAGACCTTTTGGGAGCAGGTACACGGGGAACCTCATCTATGTATGTATGTGTTTATGTATTTATGTATCCATCCATCCATCCATCCATCCATCCATCCCATTACACTCTTACAAACAATAGCAGAGACTGCAGCTTTTACATTTATATCTATACAGACCATTTTAACAGACACAATTATATATGTATATAAATAAGAAGGTTATATAAAAAGCTAATTTATTTCCAGATGTTCAAGTTGGACAGACTCCATTTGGGAAAATAATCAAAACAAAACACTTTGATTCTACTTTTTAGTAGTTCAGGATTAATCAATGCCCAAAATATGAGGCAACCGCAAATACCCAAAGCAGGGGAGGAAAAAAACAACAGTGGGAATGGCCAAAGTAAATGACCAGGAATGGCACCAGCCTCAGCTCGATGGAGGCATTTTCCAGTGAGGATGGGGCAGGGTTGGTTTTTCACTTTCCACAAAGGTTCAGTAAGTTAAATCCAGTTTGCTAGAGAAAAGTGACTATAACTCCAAAGCTTTTAATTCAGGGATACGAGATACGTGAGAAGAAAAGAATAATGCCATAAGCCGTTTAAGGATTTTAATAAAAAGTTTGTCACTTTGGGAAAAATCTACTTTATACCTATTTAGATTAGGATAAGAATGCTTTTCTTTTTTTTTCTTTTAAAAATAAAGGTGTCTGTGATAGCCTACCAATGTATTGTTACGTTGTAGCGATGCGTCACACACTCCTGGCCCTGGGATTTCCTGGGCCGCCCTCTCCCAGGGCTCGGCAGACCCCCGAGAGCTGGGAGGTGCACGTTACTGCACACCACTGTGCTCAAGGTCCCTCAAGTGAGGAAGTTTGGTTCCTAATTGGTGTTCAATCCAATTTGATCGGAGGGCAGAACCCAGGGCTAATACGCTCTACTGCTGGAAGTCTCTGATCTAGAAATCCAGAGAAGGACGGTGACCCAGGGGGAGGAACAAAGGTTTCCCTTCCCCAAGCTTCAGACAATAACCGCCCAGAGGCACCGTCTTCAGATGGGACATAAACATTTTCCACTAATAAGGAAAGACACTGAGCTTTAAAAATAGCCTGCTGTGGACTAGCCCATCAAAACTAAGACTAGAATAAGTTGCATAAGGAACACGTCCAGACAGAAGAAGGGGATAGGTTATCAGCCAGAGGACGAGGTCTCCCAGGGGTCCGAAGGGCGAGAAACGCCCCGGTCGGAGCCGGTGCGCTCCAGCAAGGCGCCAGGGGCCGCGTCCGCGGGGCCAGAGCAGGGCGGGTGTGCCGAGGCCACGTGTTCTTTAGGTCAAGGAGAGGCCACGGGCGTCCTACCTGACAAGCTGGGCGTTGTCGTGGGGTTTGCGAGGTAGAAGCTTCATCTTCCTCCAGTCCAGGAACTCGTGCAGGCTCGCGAACGGGTCCTGACTGATGGGGCATCTGTCGATGTCGTTCCACACCTCCACCCCGACCAGCACGATCCGGATGTTCAGGGGCCTGTAAAACTGAGAAACACAGATGTCCCCTAGGGATCGCGGCCCCGAGAATGTAAAACGCAGGGCTGGACAGACTGGCACATTGGGAACGTCATCGGCCTGGGTGAGAAAAATGCGGCCGTGTCCCCGGTTCCCGTGGTGTTGAGCGTTCGTAGCACCCGATACACAAGGCCGTGTCCCCTGGGTTCGCAGGTGTTACTGAGCAGTTACATGCCACAGTTATGAGCCTTTTGGGTCTCGGCCCTTAGTTTTATGGAAGCACCCATTTCAAATGATTCATTGGTGATTTAAAATGTGCATAGAGATGTGGAGTATACCTAAAGTAGTTACATTACGGCTAAAGCCTGCCAGTTTGTCTCTACTGCAAGAAAAGCAGTGAGGGAGCTAGGATTTTCAGAGACTCTGCCAAAGACAGTAATTTGTTCATTTTAAGCTAAATGTTCTACCTATGAGTTAGTGAAAATAAATCTGTATTAATTTCTTGGCAAAGACTCAGACTTGGCTGACACTGTTACATTCTGTCACCTACAATCAATCTAGGAGGTTTTAATTAAATGAGAAAAGCAAGAGCTTTGCGAACAATAAAGGTACACACAGCACTCTTCTTCAGGAACTTTAATGAGGACTCTTCTCTCCGCAGCCGGAAGGCGGCTCACCGAGGGTGTCCCGGGAAAGGGCAGTCACGAAGAATCTCCTCTCTTACAGGCGGGGGCAACAGAGCTTCCGGTACACGCTCAAAGCAGGCCTTCGCATTGGCTTTCTGTGCCCCATCTTCAGGTTCATGGCTACAGCCTACAGCCCCTTCTCCACGAGCAGATCACCCTGGGCCAGAGGTAGGAAGGGCCACTCTTCCAATGGCGAAGGATGGTTTTGTCCCCGACAAGCTGCCCGGGGCAGGATGAGCAGTCAGGGGACAGGGAAGAACCACCCATGTCCCCCAACTACTGTGCTGCCTGATGTGCATCATGCGGACCGGGAGGTGGCTCCGCCCTCAGAGCCTGGGGGCGGGGACACATGGGATCGCCTGGCTGGTTGTACGACCTTTCTGTGCCTGCGACGTGCGAGGCAAGCACAGGCAGAAGTCCTCATCTTCTGACGCTCCAGGTAGCCAAGGAGAGCGACGTGGCTGGTGCTGGCTGCCAAAGTCAAGCTCCAGATGTGGGCAGGTCCTAAAATTAGTTGCTAGAAGCATCTGAGCCAAAAAGCAATGAAATCACAGAAGCTCCGCGCTGGAGAACGAAGCCCGACTCCGATGCCGTGAGTGAGGGTACAATGAACTCCCCAAGCCTGAGCTCCTCGCCCGGGGTTCTGACCCAGGGACGGTGGGCTCCTTGCTCCTCTCCCTGGTCGACCGGTGAGCGTTAGGTGAGAGAAGACGCCAACTGGAACACAAACAACATCACGGCCTAGAGACAGATGGCAGCCGTCCGGCTTGGTTCTGAGCAGATAACAACCACAGGCTTTACATTAATAAGTTAATGAGACAATTGTATGACCAAAAGGCTGCCCAACAGCCTCTTAATCAAGAATCAGTTGGAAGCACCCAGGCAAAATGGGGTTCCTGGACTCCGCTGGACCTCTGAGCACACATGTCCGGCCGCTGTCCTCTGTCTCGTGTTCGAAGTCAATGGGCATCAGAAGGCAGAGACATCGGACACCAGATGCTGATGTCCACACCGGCTTGCTAAGTGGGGCCTCAGGGCTGTCGTCTGTGAAGGGGACCCTGTTCGCCTCCGACAGGCGCTGCAGAGAAGTGGTAAGGACCTCCATAAAGGACCTCCAGGGCTTCCCTGAGCCGGCTTCGGTGCTCACTCATCAAGGAGCTTTTCATAGTCATGACGGGGTGTCCTCCAATCACATCCTCGGGACAGATCCCCGGCAGAGAAGGACCTAACGTGAAGTCCCTCTGCTCCGACAGCGGTGCTGCTGGTAGCGGTCATATAGGCTGAACTCACCTCAAGCCGCCTCACACAGTCCCTTACTACCTGCTGTGGCTCTTCTTCCCAGGACCGCGATGCCCCTCTTGGTTCCTCCTAATAACAACCACCGCAGCTAATACAGTACACGCATTCGCTCCGCCCGAGGCCCAGGGCCAAGCGCGTTCTATGCCATCGCTGCCTCGGTCCTCGAAACAACTCCGGGCTCAGAACTATCATCGTTCCCACTTCACAGTCGAGGACACTGAGACATGGAGGGACCACGAAACCACTCACAACATGGGTGGTGTGGCCGGGGCGCGAACGCGGGCGGGCTGGTCCCAGGGCCTAGGTTTTAACCGCAAATGCAGCCCCCCAACCCTGCGTGCGATGCTCAGACCCTCTGCTAAGATGATACCCTGTGGCCCCAGGGGCACAGAGAGGCTCAGCCGGAGCTGGGCAGGGCCCGCCTGGGCCATGAATCCCAGGATAGGACGCCTGTGGACACGGCCTGAGACCAGCTGAACTGATTCACCTGTTAACACAACAGCAACAGAAATTTGTGTGGCTCTCGCTCTGTGCTCGGCGTGGTTCTGGCACAAACAGAAAGGACCAGGGTGCCCCTGCCTTGGGCTCCCGAAGGCTCAGGGGTCAGCAGGGAGCTCACAGCCCTCCTTCCAGTTAACGCCAACAGAGCGAACTGCCAAGAAAGCATGTAAACCGGAAGCTCAGAGGATGCTGTGTTCCAGGGCTCAAAGGGGGCTTTCTGGAAAAACTGGATCTGGAAAAAAAAAAAAATGAGTAGAACTCTCAAGGGCAGTCTCCTGAGATCCAATGTGGCATCTCGCATCTTCCAGGCAACGGGCTTGGGAGAGGAGAGAAGACTCACACGAGAGAGAAGAGACCCAAAGAAATTAAATTCGTGCAAGACAAGTCCCTCAAGGAGGTCGTGGAGGTTCAGCCTTAAAGAATGTGCAGCTGGTGCTAACTTCTTCATGAATGAGAAGTAGGAAGACAGGGGTGAAAGGTGAAAGAGGCGATGGCAGTCACTTCGCTTGGCCGGCGTCCCCCACACCCCCATCTGCGCTCCTGCCCAACGGGTCTGCCGCCAAGTACAAGCCTCGGGCAGGCTTGCTGTGTTTGGCTCACGGGGGGGATTTCCTGAGTGTTTAAGAATGTCACCTTTGCCATTCAGTCACTCCTGGGTCTTCCAGCCCTGCCTGCCCTTCTCCCTCTTCCCTCCAATGCAGCCAGCCGAGCAGTCATTAGTTTAGAATGGCCAAGAGGAGCCAATATTTTTTGCAAAGGAGGAAGTTGCCACGGGGACAGTCACTTTTGACTGGGGCCGAGACACGTGCAGAATAGAGAGCTGCAGAAGTGAAACATGGAGCCCTCGCTGGTCCTGGGCCCATCAGGGGGCTCACATGGTGGCAGGGAGTGTGGGAGGGGCCTGGGCACCCCACCAGTGTCTTCAGTGGCTGCTGGGGCAGGTGCAAACTTGTGCTAAGCCGTTAGGCCCTCTCTCACCTGAAACAAGAACTGCCACGCCGGCCAGCCCCGCCGAGGCGGCCAGGACTTTGCTGAGGCTGATGCGCTTTAATTACTGGTGCAAGTTATTAACAAACTCCCAAACGCTCACTTTTGGTTCTGCAGACTGAAGCAACATGGAAAGCCAAACACGTCTTTTTAAAATGGATTCCAGCAAAGAAACAGTCTCGGTGTAATGTGGTTCGTGGCTTCCTTGTACTTCCAGGGTCCGACAAGGCCCTGAGTGATGCATTCTGACCTCCAATGCCCAGTGCCAGGTGCTGCCCGCGCGACTTTTGAGAACAGAGTTACACTTCTAGACGGGCCTTTGCTTCGATTTTCCTGAAAACCTTGGAAACTCCACCCACTCGCATGTTCTAGGATTGTGTGTGTGCACAGCGGCCATGAGACGCCCTCCAGCTGCGTGCGTAAAGGGCGAACGTCTTGGGGAGCCCGATGCGACGAGCTCAGGAATGAGCCAGGCCCCTCTTCCCTCTCGCCCGCCCACGTGGGCTGGAGACAGGAGGCGATGGCTGAGAGCTACGCCTGGGTTAGGACAGTGGCCACTCACGTGGCATGTGAGAACCCCTGGGGAGACCCTGGTGCCCGGCACCGCCCCCGCCCAGACACCCGGCTGCGATGCCGCTGATGCGCGAGGAGCCCGGTTTAGGCTCTGAGCGCCTCTGCACCCAACAGCTTGCCGCTCTCCCTCCTGTGCGGGGGGTGCTGCTGAAGGGCTGGTGGTGGGGACTGTTTAACCACCAAACACGAGGAACTTCGGCCAGACTCCCAGGGGCTCTTCCAGCCCTGCCGTCCCCTTTCTCACCCCCTGGTTGTCCATGAGGGATTTTCCACCTGTGGACTGGGCTGAAAATCACTTCCCATGTCCCAGAGTTGGGAGCTGTGTGTCTCTTGTAAACGAGAGGCCGCCCTCAGCCACGATGGCGCACGCTGGGCTGGGGGGCGGTAGGCAGGGGCCGGTGGGCTCCTTCCAGGGAGCCCTGGGCATGGGCTGGCTTGCGAGTTCTCCAGAGGGTGGGATGCGCCCTATTGGAGCTCCAGGTCTAACGGGGGGGCCAAGACGCCCGAGACTGGGACTCTGTGGCGAGCAGAGAGCCTGGAGGAGATGTTCACAGGTCACTGCCGTTGGACAGCACGTGTGGGCAGGTCCTGGAGCCTCTCCAGGCCCCGGGGTCCCGGGCTCTGAGGAGGGAAGTCTGCGGTCCCCCAGGACCAGGGGTGGATCCCCAGCTCCCTGCTCACTCAGGCGAGGCGAGCTGCACTTCCTCCCTCGTTTCCAAACGTACCTGATTTGAATGATTTAATTACCCGCAAAAGAACGTACCTTGTCAACGTGATTAGCGATCTCTATTAATCGCTGTTTAACTTTTTCCAGGTCCTTTCCTTGCCTCTGAAACTTAATAATTTTAAATGTCAGCATTAATAACAGCAAGCACATCCATCAAAGCTCATCTTCCCAGCTCCTGGAAATGTCAAGTCTTAGGCTTGACAAGCCACTAGGAGCCTCCCTGGTTTCCCGAGAAATGAGCCCCCACCCTGCCGAGAAGTTCCCTGGCCGGGACTTTCTGAAAGCCCCGGAATCCGCCCCCGCCGAGCGCTCCGAAGACAGGAACGTCTGGCCTCCCCGTCCTCGCGCACGAGGGAGGGTGTCAGTGTTGGCTAAGAGCAGACAGACAACGGGGAGGCGGTCCAGGGCCATTTTTCACATCGTCAACTCGATTTTAACTTCCTCAGAAATGTCCTTTACATTTGTTTTAAAAAAATAAATAGTAAAAGTATTAGATGCTCATGGCCACAAGTCCAACAAATGCCGAGGAGAGGGGACAAAAAGCTAATCGAATCCCTCTTCTCCCCTCTCATCTGAACTTGCAGGATGGGGGCGGTTTTCTGAGAAATCGTCAGCCTGTTTCATTCATATGTGTTGAGGCTATGAGAAAATGTCACCTAATTCATAACATGCAGCAGAGGCAGAAATGAATACAGAGAAGACACTCCCAAAAATTCTGGTTAAAAGTCAATGAAAAGAAAAAGCTAACATAACATCAGGCCCTGCTTCAGAAGGCAGGGTTTTTCTGCAGCATCTTGCGACCTCTTTCATTCATTCATTTCGGGGGAGGACATACAGACAATTTTTAAACTAAAACTTTTTTCCGAAACATTTTAGAATACATTCTAAAGACATCTGCCAATTCCCCAAATAATTTCCCCTGTTTGGAGTGCTTAGCTACAGAGTAACGGTTTTATTTTGTTTTGTTTGCTTGTTTTGCAGTTCTTGGCTATTTTGGAGTATCAGATACATTTTTTAATATTTTCTATTTTATAATATCAGAAAACCACTTTCCCATGAGTTGTTTATAATGCTTTTCAGGGCCCACAGAAGATGAGGTTAATTAAAGCAAACAATAACTTGCTAAACGTTTTCTCTTTCTCAGCCCGCGGCACCGAGATGCATCCAGGTGCTCTTACCTCTCGATTGTCTGCGACAATGAGCAGCTCTACGTACTTGGTCATCTTGAGGGTCTCTCTTTTACGCTGCCAAAAGGAAACATGGGTTTAATGTCCCGAGACACCTCCCTGGGGCTCCTGGAACCCTGTCAACCTGTCCCCCCCAGGCCCTTGGACTAAGGGTGGCTCATCCTCACCATCGTAGGCTCCCACACCTCCTTTCCACCTAGAAGTTCACCTCCGACCGCAACAACCTCTGTAGAACCTTCCCGAAACAAGTGACCCATTTCCGTTTGCCTGCGAAATGCTTGCACAGGAATCTCACGTGCCTGTGGGTCCCCGACCGTGAGGTCAGAACACGCATGTGCAGACACACACACGTGCAGACACACGCATGAGGCAGGCAGCCAGCCTCTCCGGACTGGGAGCCGTTCGTCTCGGTCCATGGCCGTTGACGTCGGGCCGTGTGCAGCACGTTTGCATGTCACTACAGGACACCAGGGAGCAGCGTCCCATGGGTGTCCCCTGTGCTGTTACGGGCCAGTTTGGTGACCTGAGGAAAGTGGCAGAGGCCAGACTTCGAGCGGGACCTGCACAGCCCTCAGAGAAACCCCCAGCGGCCCACGCCAGGAAGCCTGTGGCCTGGGGCTGACGGTCAAGCGCGTCAGGGGAGTGGGGAGCAGCCGGGCCAGTAGGCAGGGCACAGAGCCACGCACGAAAGAGGTGTCGGGAGGAAAATGAGAAAGGAGCAAAAAGAAAAAGAACAGAAAAAGAAACTGTCGAGAAAAATATGCCGCCAGAGAAAAGAAATCTGTTGAGAGTGAAATAGTTGAGAGGAATGTGGAAACCGTGCCTCCTGGGGTGAGGGCGGGGGGACCCAGGCAGCAGGGGTGCGACTCCCCGCCCCCGAAGGAAAGGCAGCCTCGGAAGCGGAAGCGGGTTACGTTTTAATCAGGCCCCTCAAGAGACATTCGCCTTCTTCCCTGAACTACTGGGAGAATCCCAAAGGCATTTTTAGGAGAAAAAGAGGAATTCATGGAGGGTGGTCTCAAAAAGCAAACATTAAAAACAAAAAAACAAAGCCTTCTGTTTCTGCAATAAAATGCAGTTGGAGGAAATAGGGGTTGAGCGGGTCGTGGGCCTTACGGCTGGGAACTCTGGTTTATGACTTAACTACGTGCCGCGCTTCGCGTTCAAAACCCGCATGCTACAGCCACGCTTTCAGCCACAGCACAGGTGACCCAGGCTTGCTTTGAATCCGCTTTCTTGTCTCAGAACCCTGAGGGAAACATTTTTTATAAAACAAATCCCCATCCGCCCGGGATCTCGCAAACAGATCTTTACAAGAAAAATGTTTGTCTCCTAACCCTGCTCCCCTCCCGGCCCGTCTGTGCTGACCCATGAGTTCAGGCGTCGCTAAAGAAACTGGAAACCTTGTGGAGGAAGAAAACAAATAAAGCACTATGAAAAGGATGCTTTCCCAAACTTTTTCATTAAAAAAAAAAAAAAAAGAAAAAAAAGAAAAAAAGAAAAAAGAAAAAGTCAAGCGTTGTAGCTCTATGTGGTAGGTGTGTTTTCTGCTTATAACTACATATTTATGGCGGAAAACAGATTAGCCCCCCTGGTATCCCCTGGATCTACAAAGCGAGACACCTTCTCCAAGTGCGAGGCTCCTGTCCCTTTGCCTGACAGAGATGTGAAGAAGCAGAAGCCTCTTCCCCCAGCCCCCCAATTCTCTGTTTAACCATGGACAGATTCAGCTAATTATATAGCAGAAAATAAAGGTCTGTAAATGAAAAATAAGTTCACCTCCCATTGAAAAACCCCTCGGAAGGGCCTGGTTGTTTTGGACATTTGTACCTTAGAGACGACAGGGGGGGTGAAGTCAATGACTAGGGGCTGTGTCCAGGTGGCCGGGGATCGGTGAGAACACAGGTAATTCCAGAGAAGGAAAACGAACGCACGAGCACAGTTTCCCTGCCTCTGCAGTTTTCAGGAGTCCAACTTTTCTCATGAATCAGAGAACTGCAAGCTCAGAGAGAAGCTAACCGCATGGTAATCAGAAGCCCCCAGGGAGCGGCCGGCCGCCGGCCGCGGGGGACAGGGAGGGCGTCCTCCCTCCGCTGCGCACAGGGAGCCTCAGATGACCTCTGCGTGGTTTCCGCCTGCTTAGGCTGCCCAGTTTAAAAAAAAAAAAATCACACTTACAATTTTTGATGTGTGGAGCAACATTTGAAACTGGTTACTTGATTACATTTTCAATTTGGGGGTGATACACAAAAGCCCTTCCCCAAAGAGACAGGAACACAAGCTTGGAGAATGGTCAGGACCCCGGAGCTGGAGGCCGCGGCGGCCCTCGGGTCTCGCTCAAGAGGGAGGTGGTTCCTGGGCCTCTCAGTCACCACAGCCAAGGTCCCAGAGACAGAGTGTCCCCCACCGCACCCCTCCCCACCCCAAGCACGTTGCCACGAGGGCCCTGGCGCTGGAAGCTCAAGTTAGAAAAGTGCCGTTGCGATCAGGATGACGATGGATTCTCGTTGTAACTGCTGCTTCCCGTGGGCCAGGCTCCTGAAATGCCACCCCGTCACCCCACACGTGTCTCCGGGGGCTGCCTACGCGCTGGGCGCTGGGCTGGTGCTGGGGCGAAAGGGATGGGCGAGGGACCCAAGGCGCGGCCTTCGGAAGCCCACGTTCTGGGATGAGGGTGGGGTGACAATAAAGAACACACAAAAATCAGGCCCAGCGTGTGAGAAGCACAACAAAGGCGACACATAGGGTCCTGCGGTTGGGAGAACGGCAGGGAGGGACTAAGCGGAGACCTGAGGACGAGGGGCAGGGGTGTGGGGGGACCGTGTTTCTGGTCGGGGGGCAGCAGCGGCCCAGGTGCCAAGGCTGGGGGGCGCTTGGAGTGTCACGACAGTGGGCGGAACTGCTAGCGTCTCACGGCCAGCGAAGGGCGCTGCTGAGGCGCGGCTGGCGGTGTGGACAGGACGCGGGGCCGTGGTTGGGAGGTTGAGTAGTAATGTAATAATCCGAGCGCCACAGGGGGCCCGTGCCTGTGAGGTTTTGAAAGAGCCCTCTGCCTGCGGTGGGGAGGAGGGACCCCAGAGAGGTGACGGGGAAGCCGAGTGAGCAGGCGCGAGCAGGCAAGAGCGTGGTTGGGGGCAGTAATGACGGAGATGGGCAGAGTCAAGCTGACTGTGACACAGACAGACAACAAAAGAACAATGACAAAGGTGCCAGGCTAGTGTGTCCATGGGAGGCATGACCGGCGAGTTAAATGACTCAAAAGTTGGGGACATCTTTCTCCGAACAAGGAAAGATCATTGCTGGCTCAAGTGAGGCTCCACGCCTCGACTCCAAGGCCGCTTTGTGGGTGTTTATAGGCTGAGCCGGGGTCTCCACCGTGGAGGGCTATCTCTCCACCACCCTGGCCAGCGACTTGTGTGGGGACGAAGCGCCCCTCTCGGATCTGCATGGGACGCAGCCCCTGAGGCCGGGCTGCCAGACAGGCCACAGAGCCAACCGGCAAACGAGACAGCGAGCGGGATGAATGGGCTGAATCTGATGAGCCGAACATTAATGGGAAAGTGCTGGAGTCCAAAAACCCACAGCACCAGCGAGGCCTGCCGCTCACTTATCCAGGGCTTTAATCGATTCAAGACCCAGCAGGAACCCGCACCTGCAGGTTTTGGAGCCTGAACGCGCGTGGAGAGATGCCGAGCCCAGGGCCAAGGAAGGAACAGCGCTTCTGGCTGTGCTCCACCCTGAACTTGAAGAGCGGCCCAGGCCGCGCGAGACCTTGCAGCGGCCTCTCTGCGGAGGCACGGGGCTGAGGGGGCTCCGAGAGGGAGGATCCCACGTGCCTGATGTCATCCTTCCGAGCGGCCCTGGCCAGTCCCTGACGTTCAGCCATGGCCGGGCTCTGCAGATAATGCACTATTTCTACCACCACCGGTACCGGGGCTCCTATTAAAGATGCCTGCCTGTCCAGAAACGCAAAGCCACAGCATGGGGCCATGTCATGGTGGCTGCCCTTGGGGAGACACCACGGTGTCACCCCAACAGCCAGGCTGTTTGTGCGCGGTAGCCAAAGCAAACAGCGCTTTCTAGAAAAAGAAGACATTGGCTTTTACATTTGACTCATCATTTTCCTTACTAATGGAGGGGAAAACAGCACAGATTATCCCTAAAGAAAGGATAATTCAAAAATAATTCACATGTGCCTCTGGGATGTATTACGTGATTTTTTCCAGTAGCAGATTTGCGGGGCCTCTGCCTTCCTTCCGGCTGGCCGAGGCCAAGGTTAGAATGAGTTTGCTCACTGGAGCACGGAGCTGGTGGGGAGAGGAGGGACACGTGGCCGGGGAGCTCAGTGACCGGGGCCCTTTGGGCCGCACTTACAGACCCGCGGGGCAGAGATCGGACGGTGCAGCTCGGATGGCAGGCCCCCACTAAAATCCAGGGGAAAGCCTTGTAAAATGACACACAATAGCTCAGCTTCTGTTACGGCCGGTGCATGCCCTGAGTCTGGACTTCTTGGGCTGTTCCGGGAGGAAAAATGCAAATATTTGCAGAAAAATCTCGGTTTCCAAACCAGTTTTTGCAACAGTTACCATTCCGTTGGGGCAGAAAACTGCTGGGCAAAGTCCAATGCAGTTGTTGCATTGGGTCAACAAGATCGGTCGGCTGTGGTTACATTGATTTCGCAGCAGAAACTAAAGGCAGCTCAAGGGAGGCGGGCGAGCGGCGTGGAACTGGAACATGCGCCCTCCTGTTCGCCACAGGTGCCACCTCAGACTGCACGGTACATCGTTCCAGTTCCCCAGCCTTCCACTCATCAAACATTACTTTTCGTATCGTGTTCATGATATAATTGTACTTTAAGTCAAGGACACTTTCTCTTCCATAAAAACAATTACAACTATTGCTAGAGAGAAGTATTGAGAATGAGTCGAACTGTCTTGGATGCCTTCCCTGTCCAATTTAAAGGTTCATTTCCACTTCAGTATGTGTTATTAACAAAACCACATATTTTATTCAGGTTTTTAGCATTTCCCTTCACATCAAAATCACTGGAAATTTCTATGCCAATCACAGTTGAGAGGGCTGTAGACTCAGTTACCAACTTGAAATGTGGCTGTCGAGTACAGCCCACGCATGCACTTCTTCACGAGATGCTAAAGACGTTTGAGCGTCATTTCAGCTGCCAGGTTATAAACGTCAGACTGTGGACAGCGTGTTTGACATGGTCCTCAAGGCAGAGCCTCTTGATCATCTCCTTGTTTAGGACCGGAAGGGCCCTGGCTGCGTCACATCCTCCCTGAGGTCTGGAATCAGAGGACATGCCTGAAGGGTGGCAGTAACCTGTCCTGAGACCAGGGGCCGGCTTGGTGACTCCAGCCCTCACATCTGTCCCGCTAAGGTGGGCGGGGGAGAGAAGCGGGGTGGCAACTCCAAGCCACCGGTGGGGTGGGGGGTGGGGGGTGGGGGGGTGCTTCTGAGGCTCTGGGGCTCAGACACCGCCTCCGCTACTGAGTTTCGTTGTCAAGGGGGCCACGGCTCCTGATGAGTGATCTTCCCCTTTTGTGGGGTGGGCGGAAAAGAGAAAACAAGGTTCTTCTTCCGCCATAGAAAATCCTGGGAGCATATTAACATGCAGGGAGTCGGGGTCACGTGGGCAGAAAGGGCCGGTGTAAATCAAAATGGGGGGTCCCGCCTGGTCCCGCCGAGAGCCGGTGAGGGAGCTCACGGCTGTGGGGGAAATTTTAAGGATGAGAAGAAGTTGTTTAGGATAAGGTTTACTGTTTGCATTTAGAAAAATAAGTAGGAATGACCAAAGGAATAATATGTATGAAATGTTGAACGTTGGGCAACCTAACACTCAGAGTCAGGAAAGACAACCTGTGCTTGTTGGAACCTTGAAGAACATGTCCCTACTCCACCAAGTATAAGTACAAGTGACATCACAGCTACGAGTTCTAGATTTCTTGTCAACTGAGCACCAGGAAAGCCAAGATGGAACAGCAGGAAATTGTTGCTGATTTCCTATTGCACTCATTTAGTTTCAGGGCTTCTAGACAGAGGGGGGAATGGCTGCACCCCGTCCTTCCTGAGAGTGTCCTGCCTGGCCTGTAGGACCTGGGATGGACACGGGTCAGGGGGCCACATCTGCGGGAGCACGTGGCAAAGCCTGGGAGCGTCCCGCAGGTCAGCGGGGAGACCCCAGCCGCAAAGCAGACCAGGCACCAGGAAACGCCCCTCTCGTCCCCCCCCGTCCCGCAGTGTGCAGCGGGGGGCTGTCTGGGAGCTGCGGCCCTGTCCCTTTGTCCCTTTGTTTACTACATGGCGCAGCCCTGTGTCTGGCCCACGGTGGCTTCTCACTGAAGATGCAATCAATGGTCCCTCTGTCCCCTTCTGAGTCCACCTTTTCCCATCACAGGTTAGTAAGTCTGAGCCCGACATTTGCAAGTCAAGCGTGGAGGTTTCAGTGTTTGATTATGCTCAGCCGGTGGGACATGCGCTGCCCCCAGGTAAACTGGGTGACTCCACCCCCCAGACACAGCACCCATGCGGAAAAATGTCTCCTGATGTCCCAGCACTGGGCGTTCCTAGCTGGAGCCCCCAGGTCCCCAGAAACACAACATCGGGCTTCCCTCCTACCCTTCTGGTCCACGGCCGGGAGGGTGGTGGGGATCCGCCGTCCGCAGCGGGGCCGGAGGTGTTGCGATGTAATCCGCAGGAGCCCCAGATGCCCTTCAGGGTGGCTGCTGGGAAGAGCTTGTGTCTGCTGGTTACATTTTCCATTGGTTCTAGGACATAGGTTTTATTTTCAAATATGATAAGTCCCCTGTGGAAAAAGAAATAAGAAGAAAACATGTCATTTTTAAGGGCCGCTTCCTGTTTATGACTGAAACAGAGAATGGAAGGAGAAATGCCAATTTATTGATATTCTCAGGCATTAATCGGAAGGGACATTGATTCATTATGCCAATCTTGTGAAAAGTGAGTCTGAGAAATTTTTTGTTTCAAATACTTTCTGGTACAAAAATGGACTACATTTAGTCTTTATGTATTTTTTTATTTTTACTTCTCAAATACATATTGCTGAGTGAAGAACTGAGAAAAAAGATGTTTCACCTGCTTAGAAAACAACGACCATGGTAGCTCGGGGCTTGTAGTTAGCTGGTTCCGGGACTCGTGACGCGTGCCATCGCTGGTGAAGTGCTTTCTCTCGCGGGGGGCGTCCTGACTTGTACAAGCTCTGGCGAGTGCAGTGAGTCCTGAGTGAGCGCTGAGCGCTGCAGCGTTTTCTTCTCGCCCAAACGCCACCCGTGCAGGGTTTGACGCGTTCTGAGGCTGACGAGTACCGAGGCGTGGCTGTGTTATCCGAATTCATGGACACAACTCACAGGCAAATCTTTTTTTTTTTATTTTAAAGGAAGATTCCGACATCTGGATTGCCCATCCTGATCGGCCATGTAGCGTAACTACGTCAGAGCATTCTGAGGCAGGGTTGGGCAGAAACTTAGGGCTTTTCTGTATCGACCCATTTAATTTGTGGGAGATGGGCGAGCAGAGGCACCGGCGTCGGTGCATGAAGGGTCGGAAACGCTCCCGGGAGGCCGAGCTCTGCCCGCGGGCCGTCCTTCCTGGCTGACGGGGGACGCTGTCCGCAGGGGTGAACACCCTCAGAGCTGGGCCGGCCCCGAGGCTGAGAGGGCGGCCTGCGGAGTCCGACAGTTGGGTTTAAGTTCAAGCTCTGCTATTTACTGGCTGTGTGACCGTGACCTCTTCGAGCCTCAGTTTTTTCATCTGGCAAATAGGATAATAATACTTATTTCTCAGGGCTGCTATGTCATCCAGCTAAAACTCTTAGCGTGGGGGAAGCCACAGCCGGCACTGAAACGCTAGGGGCCTTCCTGGTTAGTGACGAGGGCAGGTGCCTGGCTCGGGTCCTGTCTCCCTGATACCCCAAGGAGGCGCCGAGCTGCGTTCACACGTCGGCCCACATGTTGACACGCATGGCTCCCTGAGATGAGACACAGCCTGAATAAGGGAAATACGTTCCTGGGAATAACGCTACCTGGGCAACCGCCCAAGCGAACATTCAGGTTCGGGAATAAAAGAATACATTCTTTTAAAAAGTGGACAGATTTGCTAAACATTCTAAGTTGCAGAGGCAGAAGGTGGCACCAGGCCACAAACCACTATGCGCACATGACTGGGGAAGGACAGAGCCGAGGCTGCGTCTGCTCCCTAGGAGTGAGCTATCTCCGGTGGCTTCCAGGGACAGGGACATCGGCCTGCAGGGTGGCTTTCGTTTCTCTCTTCTCCAATGCGGGACAGTCAAGTCCTTAGCTAAAAGGTTCTGTCTGATGTTGAAAAAAGGGTTTCCTGCGGAGACATGGAAATTCGGGCAGCAGTAAACTGGCTGCGCGCTAAGGCTCTCACACACCGACCGGCTTCCGTTACATTTAGCATATTTCTCTCCCCTCGAGGAATGCATAGAATTCTCATGCAAAATTCATCTGATTGTAAGTAGACACTCCTAATGCAGTGGCTCAACCTGCTTTGAGGCACGACTCTCACACGTCCTCAGGAGAACCCCCCCCCCACACGTGTGCGCTATTACGCAGGCAGGTCGGCAGATTCAGCCCAGGAATGACGTCGGTGAGCCCCGGGGGGAGGGCACTAGTTCTTACAATTTATCTGACATCAACTCGCAGATGGGAGTACCATTTAACCCTTAAGAAATCGTTTTAAAGGTTGGGTGCTCTGTCTGTTTCCTTCCGATAATCTGAACTCGTTTCCCAAGGAGGGACCTGGCCAGGTGTTCCTATGTCATTTCATTATTGCGCATGTATTTCCGTCCTTCACTGATCCTGCGCTCAAGGATGACGCGTTTATAGGTGACGATTTACTCATCCTTAAATTAGAGTAGGATGGCGGGATTTCAATGCTCAGATAGGGTGGATGAAAGAGGTTCGAGGCAGCCGAATATTTTGAGCACAGCTGGCGCTCACGTACGCACGAGGCAGTGCTTTATGATTCTCCTGGCTCATTCTGCCAGTCCTCTTTTATGAAGTGTGGTCGGCGACGGTGGAAATAGACTCTGCTCAGGAACCTCCCGCCCTAATGGAGAAGTCGGCAACGGGACGTGCGGGATAATTAGAACCCACTGCGGAGCCGGCTGGGGGTTACCAACACTCATAGCCCTTGACAGTTGAGAGACGGGGGGGACCCGTGGGGTTTGCAGTAACTGAGGACTTTCTGGCTATTTCAAAACCCACAGATGGATTGAAAACCAATATTGCTGCTGTCTCATGTCCCCCGCCTCCCCTCGTTCCTCAACTAGTGTCTTCATGTGCCTCCACGTAGATCACGCAGTCGTGACATAGGTCATCGTCTGTCGGGGGCGGCCTGCATGCTCTCCCTTTGGAACGTTCTTTATGAAATAAAACTTGGATTTCTAGTTTAGAATGACTCATAGAAGATTTTCGTTGATTAAAGTTGATGTTTAGAAAGCCTAAATTAAGAAAGAGAACTTTAAAAAATAGACCAGGGTAAGTGGAAAACAAACACATTTGAAGGGGAAAATAGTATATGGCTCTGCTAGAAAAGCAACTTTCCTGCCCGAAAAAGAAAATGGCACTAACGTTTCATTTTGCATTACAGCATTTTCTATTTTTCTTTGGATTTCAATAAGTGAACACTGAGTAAAACATGTCACCAAGTTCTAATCACGAGAAGCAAACTACTGAAAACGTTTTTCTACTTAATGGAAAATTTCTAGAAATTGTTACTTAGTCATAAAAATGTTCTCATATCTTCTTTTATCTTTTAAGTCATCCAAAGGCCAGATGTTGAGAAATTGGGGTGAAGCCGGTCCCTTTGCTGCGCACAACTGGCTGCCCGTAACACCGCTTAATTAAATAATTGCTTTGGACTGTCTTGAGTATAATTAATCATTTAGCTCTAGAGATTGCTGGAAACCACAGACTTCAAGGATCCAGGGTTTTGGAGATATAAAATTTTGATGTTCTCACAGCCCTCACTGGCCCCACGCTAGATAAGCGAATGTAATTTACGTTGAATGTCATAGATATTTAGTTATAAACTTGGAGTTGGAAGTAGTTCTGAGTATGGAATTTCAGTCCAGCAGACTTGGAAAGCAGGGCTCCTTTCCCCTTGGTCGAGCAGGCGGAGGAGAGGTTAGAGAGCAGATGGGGCAGCCTGGGAAGAGGAAGGCTGAGGGCGCCTTCTCTGGGGGGGTCTAGGAGGATGGGTCTGCCATCGTGGGCGTGGGGCGCGGTGAGGCCCTGTCCTGGGGCGGGGGGGGGGGTTGGACGTGGTGAACGGAGAGCAGAGGAGAAGGGCGCTGCTGGGGGGCGGGGGCACCCCTCTGGCACCCCGACTCGGTCCAGGCTCGGGCTGCAGCCATTCCATGGCCGTCCAGTAGGTCCTCACGGAGTGGGTCTCTGGGCCTGATCCCCACTGTCACGGGCATGCGGGTGGCTCGGGGCAGAGCGGAGCCCCCGGCCGGGACCCTACGCTCTCCTGCCTCTGTTTTAAGAGGGTTGTGGCGCCCAGACCAGGGACAAGGGTGATCGAGGCAAAGTCGGAAGGAAAGGGGCCGGAGAGAGAGAGTGGTTGCTTTGGAATCAGGCAGCCTTACTTCAAATTTTGAAATCCTGCTGCTTTTCCTTCAAGGGAAACGAAGAGACAGCCTCTCAAATTTTAAGCTGCTTTTGTGAGCTTTCGGAGTGAAAAGCCAGGACACCCGTATTTCCTCCAGATACGTCCCTGCCCTTAAAACCCAGTTTTTAATCTCTAAAGCAATTGCATCAGGAGATAATGCGGCTTAACGTTGTTCTTATTATGATTTGTGTTACTTCTGCCAGGCAAGCCAGACCGTGGCACGTGGATTTTTGACTACCTGTCAGAAGCTAACAGTTAGAATGTATGAATTGTCCCGGCTAGTTCCGCGTTCAATCGCTCATTTTCTTGGAAAAGGGACGTTGCTCTCAATGCCGCGCTGCAACTGTAATTTAGAAAGGCAGTTGGCACGACTTCCATTTGGGCCTGTTTTTGGTGGCGCTCACAGGTCAAAGCAACTCGCCACCTCGTATATGTCTGACACACAGCGATCGCGGCCATGCTGGCGAGTGAGCACATGAGCACCGCAGGGCTAAGTTCCAGTCGGGAATGTCACGTGAAACCGGTCACGTACCATCAAGCAAAACCCCAGTACCCCTGCCACGGGCAAAGCGCTGGCTAGGTTCCGGGAATCACGTGAGGATGTCTCACGCAGGGTCCCCACTTCACGTGGAACTCGTAACCAGGTTTGGAGGCAGGAGGAAGGGGTAAGATGTTAAGCTATTACAAAAGATTTTGCGCAGCTATCAGTGACACACCAACAGTGATAACAGCAGCGGGGACCGCTGAAGAGCACACCCTCAGCCACCCCCCTTTCTAAAGTAACAGCCGCGGCGCGAAGTAATGCACTTGCCGCTACGTTCACTCTATTAATGCATGTGATCCACCGGTTTTTAGTGTAGTCACCGAGTTGCACGAACATCACCCTTATCTAGTTCTCAAATATTTTCTTTTATTTATTTTTATCTTTGTCATCATTACCTGAAGATATGGTTTTTTATTGATTCTAGAGAGGAAAGGGAGGAGGGAGAAGGAGGAAGGGGGGAAGGAGTTGAGAGAGAGAAACATTGATGGGAGATAAAAACATCAATCGGTTGCCTGCTGAACACGATCCCAGCGGGGACCCTGCTACAGCCTTTAGGTGCACGGGATGGCGCTCCAACCAGCTGAGCCACCCGGCCAGGGCTAATT